AAAAAAACAAACAAAAAAAAAAACCACACACACACAATCAACAACTGTTTTAAAACACCACAGTATAAATGTAAGTCAAAAGAAAAGTTAAAACGAAGACAAGAAAAACGTGATTTGTCAGTTCTGTGTTGTTGCAATACATTTTATTGAATATGAAGCCTCCGTTAAGTGGTTACACAAGGTACATGATAATAACCTATGATCCATGGCTGACAAGATTTGACTCAACAACTCCTGTGCATAGCTTTCAGTCCTTTCACACTTTGTACCTCTTTGGATTATGGCGATACAATTGTCTCTAACAAATCGAGTCCTTGCACAATTCTTACACGCTAGAGATCAGAAGGCATTATACAGAGGGTATTCACTAAGAACAAGAATTGATTTCACCTGACTACATGGGGTGGGGGGGTGGGGGGTGGGGGGAGAGCAACGGGTCTCGATGAATTTCTTTAATTGTTGAAATTAAAGGAGAAATCTTTTTTCTTTTATATTCATGATTAGAATTCATATACCAAAGGGAAAAAAAGAAAGAAATAGTAGCTTGAAAAGTGAAAATACACATTTTGAGTTGAGGAATAAGTGTATAAAGCATAAGCAGAGTGATATCTCACAGACAGACACGCACTGAATACTAACAACACCACAGTACAAGACTGCGGCGTGCATCTACCTGGGACAGCAAGCCAGTGAGAAATCTTGCCTCTAATCCTTTCAATCTTTGAACAAAGTATAAAGAAACTGTTCTTCAGGGAATCAACTTTCACAAACTACTAGAAGGAAAGTTTCAACCACGGAAAATTCAGTTTAAAAGATGGCAACGTTTTGAACACTGAAAAAAAATATTGATAAATAAAATTACACAAACACATAGTAAAAAAAGCAGACGAAAAATTTGGACCGCTTAAACTTTGGAATCATTCAAATCGATAACAAAACTTAAAATATAAAAATCAGATTAAAAAATGTTTCAACACCTGTTCCCCACCTCCTGTGGTTTGCTGGGGTTGTTTTTTTTTCTTGCACCTCCTAAAACTTAGACCAAAAATAAAAAAGAAGTAAAATGATAATGAACAGATATGCCCAAAAAATGAAAGATATCTTCAGGGAAATAAATGTTAAGTGAAAAAAAAAAAGAAGACAGAATCAACATTCTGTCTCAAGTACACAAGCTGAAAAAAAAAGATGTTCTAATCTACTCAGAAGTACTGAAATATAACGGTTTTTTTGGCACAGAAACCACACCCTTTGATACACAATATATGTATATGCTTATGCAGGTAGTTGTTTATAGATGAATAGCAAGTCTCTTGTAACAATAACAAATTTTAAAAATTACATTGTGTTTTTCCATACAAAAAAAAAAAATTAGCAACCCAACTGACACTTCATGCCATATTGCTGACAGTTACCACTGCCTCAAGTGCTCTGTCCACATACGCACACACACCACACACTCATACACACGGTCAATGGAAGTGCAAAAATGGACAGTAAGCCAGGAGAGACGAACTGAGAAAAGCAAGAGCCTTCTTATGGAACGCCGAGATGCCAGACTGTTCTCTGCCAACAAGCGACGAGACAAGCAGGAGCCGAGGAAAGTGCTACGTCCACAGACTTCCCCTGCGCTCCTCGCCATGTCCAATGACGAACAGAAAGGTGAGAGAGTTTGTCCAACAAAGTTCAGAGATCAACAATTTCTCTTGACATCTCTGCTCATTCCTTCACTGGAAAGACCAACCTTTTTATAGAAAGTTATATCAAAAAGAAAAAAAAAACATCCAAAAGATAACTGTGTCAAGATTTAAGTAGCATCAACTGGCCATTGATTTGCAATCAGAATTCAAAACTTTTGACATTTTCTGGACATAACAGAGCAGGGATCACGGAGAGCCCCACAGACTTGAACATGAGGAACAGCATTTATTATCAGGCACTTACAAAACCATAAAAATTAGCTACAAATATCCAGCAATAAAAAAAAACAACTGCAATGTCCAACTATGCTCAAACCTATGTCTGCTCCAGTTCATTCGAAAACTCTGTTGTTATCATGAGAGCTTAATTAAGCATAAACATTTCCAGCCCATTTTTGAAACTTGTCAATTATCTTTGAGAGTTGTCTCCTGTGGAACAGACCTGGCCAGCTGCGGTCAGCACATCAATGACTAGCGACAGGGCAGTACCAGGGTGAAATGATCGGCAAGACAAACACAGTGAGAAGACGTCCCGAGATGTAGGCAGACTAGGGAGGACCAATGTGTCTGCGCCATACAATTAATAAGAATAAATGCACTTCACAGCAGCTCTGAACTACATCGCGTGGCACAGATCAACACGTTCAGCACCACGGAGTTATCTGCACAAGTGCCATCATTTTGGAAAATTTAATACATTTACGATGAACAACCGATTGGCCTGAACAAGGCAGCGTAAGACAACAATATGTCAGCCTAAAAACTGTTGACATGTCACCAATTACATGGCCAAGACAAAAATATGGTACAGGAATGGACTGGTTCTTACGCTAGGGCAAAGCAACAGCTCAAACCCACAACAACCAGCTATTTTGTGCACCCACCTGGGATGCACATTTGGGGGGAACACAAGACAAGACACAGCTAGACTACTCTCTCAGAACCTTGGGTCGACCAACACACTTAAGTCACAGAAATGCAATAATGGCAAAAACAACGTAAAAGTAAGAACACCTCCATGGAAGAGAAAGCAAGAGGAATCAGTCAGGCAAAAGACTTTTCTCTACAAAACTGTCTCAATCATCCATCAAGACTTAGGCCGTGATTGGTCCAATTTATTCCTACAGACAAACAGGAAAAATGATGGTATCTTGGTAAACAACTGCCTGCAGAACAGACAGAAACAAAGAAATAAACAAGACAATCATCAAATACAGTCTGAATAAATAAGACAGTTTCTTATCAAGAGACTTGTAATTACTTTGATTCCAGAAGTCATTCCAATAAATTAACTGCCAGATATACTTCAAAGCATAATTAGAGTATTTTCTGAACTAGACGTTGGTCGAAACACTGAAAAATGAACTTTGGGTAACAAAAAAATGAGATGAACTTCATATAATGGCGACAGAGAAAAAGGGTGTAGGGTGTACCTAACATTTTCCCCCCCTCAAAACCACCAGAGAGACACCATATTGTTTCAACAATGTCAAGAACTGATCATACACCTTTATTGTCATATATTCAACTTGTGACCAAATTGTTATTATCTAATTCACATTGACATTGCACAACTCATGATATTACAAAAAAAAGAATTTCTAAGATTACCTCATGATCAAAATCCATAGGAGCACGAAGAAATCTTGTTAATAAAGCTTCAGGGGAAAAAGAGCAGCATTCAAATATTCAAGTATCCAATCAACTGGTAATCAGACCACAGTACTTTTCGATGGATGGACCCTACATGCTTCTACGAAATCCTAAATCAAAAGTCACTCGTTTTTCTCCTGACAAACCCATTGCAAGAAGACAAAGAGGACGATCGGTCACTCGCAGGAGAGAGTTGGAAAAAACCCTCTAAAAGCTCTGACAGACCTCTAAATGTTAGCACCTGATATTGTCTTCTCCGCTATGTGAACATCTAACAAAAGAAGTTCTTCATAATAAAGAATCGCTCTCTCCCTTTCTGTTTCCACTTTCATTTCCTTATCTTTATTTATTTTTTTTTTTAAGCGAAAGTACAGGTCAAAAGGCATAAGATTTAAACTGTACATGATAGACGGACAGCACAATAACAAGCTCATTCCCCTGAAGCCTCTGAGCCACCGTTGGCGTCTCCTGAGCCCTCTTCTGACACGCCATTGGGGGCATCGCCATCAGCGTCGGCACCAGCGTCTGCAACAGCATCAGCGTCGGCGTCAGCATCAGCAGCAGGGCTTGTTTCTTCCGGAACCTGACAGACACACACGCACACAGAAGGACATAGGTTAGTTTTGAGTTTGGCTTAGAGTTTTAAAAAAGCACATCCACAGGATAACCATCATTAAGTGCTAAAAAAGAGACAGAAATCAGAAGGTAGGTAAAGGAAGCTGGACCTATCATTGGCATCCTCAAATCATCCATCGACATTTGTCAACTATTTTTGTTTTAGTAGAGGTTTTACGCGCTCGCAACTGCATAAGGTCGTATGAGCGCCATCTGTCAACTATAGAGAAACATTGACAGAATAATAGAATAATTCTCTCTTAAAAGTTGGAAAAAAGAGCATGGCGACAGACAAAGCATCTCCATTTAAAATCAGGAAAAGGGCCCAATGCCATTCACAATAGCAGTCGTATTGTGTCGGGACAAATTTGTTTCTTAGTTCGAGTAAGGGGAAGGAAGCACATAGATAATAAAGGTAATTGAGAGCTGCGAAAAAAGTAAGACTGACAGGCAGAATAAAACAGAGAGTGTATGTGTAGTAAAATGAACAACAGAAATAACAAATAAGAAGTAAGAGCAGCCCCTCCCATTTATTACAGGCAACATGGGTGAAAACTCTTTTAACTTACCATCAAGAAAGTTTGTAGAAGAAGAATCGACAAAAAAACAAATTGAAATCAACACCACTGTCTGTGACATCACAATGTCAGAATATGTTCAGATGTCACTTCTTTTGCTTCTACTTGCCCCATTATCTAACTTCTGTAAAGATGTCTCCCTCTCTTCCCGTGCTCATCATTCCTTCCACCTGCCCAGTGAGCTCTACTAGATTCTAAAGCCTTTCTAGAGGCACCAATAACATACCTAAACAACAATAGACAGGGAAGGAAGGGAAGGACAGAGAGAGAGAGGGGGGGGGAGGAGGAGGAGGAGAGAGAGAGGGGGGAGGAGGAGGAG